CGGTTTTTGACGCTCACCATAGTGACTCGGCAGTTGGAGGATTCCAATCCTAATGATACGGAGAACACAAAACAACACGGGACACTGCGTCCCCCAGCCTTCTCCTCTGGGTCTGAGGATTGATTTGAGTTAGCAGCTCCTCACATGAGCTGCATTCTTCAGCCTTAATTTAAATGGGCAGAGGTGAATGAAAAATGTGTAAATGTTAAAATGTTATTATTCAGAAGCCCTTGAGATCCCATAGCTCATCGTAGTAATTAAAATGCAGCACAGAAGACCCCTTACTTCAGTAGCTCACAGGGTAAAAGGAAAATAAATGAGGATCACAAGTTGATGGGATCGGGAATTAGCATGCTGGTGTGCCCTATTGAGTAGAGCAGCTGGCCTTGGTGTATGGGTAGTATAAGAAACAGGCCTCCCTCCCTGTGTGCTGTTACCTCCTTGTTTCTCTCCTGTAAGGGCAGAATGTGGCAAGGGCTGAGGGAAGAGCTGGGGGACCATTGGAAGTAGTGTAGAGAAAGGCCTAAGGGTTCTCTTCTGCATCTTCAGTAGTCCCTGGGCATGTCGCCCAGGCTGGTCTGGAACTTCTGAGCTCAAGTGATCCTCTTGCCTCAGCTTCCCAAATTGCTGGGATTACAGGTGTGTGCTGTCACACCTGGCCCTTCTCTGCCTTTTCTAATGTATTTCTGCTTCTCTGTAAGCCTGACAAGGTCTTACTTCTCCTTCAGTGCTCAGCCCGAAAGCTGCCTCTTCTGAGAAGCCTTCTGGTTCAAAGTAATCAGGCTTTCTTTTTGTCTGCCATGCATATGGTTTATACCGATCTTAAAGCATTGAGGCAGACTTGGTGTCTTTATTTATTATTATTATTATTATTTGGTAAGATAAGATCTCGCTCTGTCTCCCAGGCTAGAGTACAGTGGCACAATCACAGCTCACTGCAGCCTTGAATTCCTGGGCTCAAATTATCCTCCCATCTCAGCCTCCCAAGTAGCTGGGACTACAGATGTGCACCACCACGCCCAGCTAATTTTTAAATTTTTTATAGAGATGAGATCTCACCATGTTGCCCAAGCTCCTCTTAAACTCCTGAGCTCAAGCACTCCTCCTACCTCAGGCTCCCAAAGTGTTGGGATTACAGGTGTGAGCCACCACGCCTGGCCTCTTTATCCTCATATCACCTGGGTGCCTCCTGAGGGCAGACACTTTGTACACATTTGTTGATGGGATGAGTGGGTACAGTGACAGTTCTGGGGCCTGTCTCAGAGTTTTCTTGCTTCAGCCTGCTTACCACATTACCTCCTGTCCCCTCCTTCTGCTGTTCAGAGTTATAAGGATGGTGCAGGTAATGAATGCTTGTGAAGTGCTTTATATCTTACAGAGTACTTTCATGTACATTGTCTTTGATGATCCTTGTGACAGACCTGTGAGGAACTGAGTAGTTGGTCTCATCTGTGAGCAAAGTGTGTAATGTCTCCCATGTGGAGGATAATAACAATTTTAACATCTATTGAGAGTGTGGCATGTGCCAGACATGGTTCTTAATGCGTTACACGTATCATTTAATTACCACAGCAGTCCCCCAATTAAGATCCCAGAATTGCGGAGAAGTTCAGTAATTTGCTTAGGAACTGCTTCTTGATCAGTGTACTCTATTGTTAGTACCTTGTCCCTAAGAGACCTTATATTATCCTGACTTTGCAGAAGGAAGAAACCATTGAGTAATTCTTTTCCCACCCATTGATTTGCCAAAAATTCCTATCTTGGTCTTGGATGTAGTTTTTAATGGGAGCGAGAACACCAGCCTTAGGCTCTTAGATGTCGGCAAGCTTTTCAGATACCAGAGTGTCTTTCTTAGGAATTGCCTGGCTAAGTCAGATGATTACAAGAAGTTCTTTCCATCATTTCTTATATTGGTGGATTGTAGTTTCTCTAATAGGAGTCTGATCCTCAGAGATTCTTCCTCCACATATTTCCTTCCCCCATAAGTTTCCATTCTTTCTTTCTGCCTACTTCCTTCCCCCGGCATGTGTCTGGTATTGAGCCCTTGGCATCTGTCTCTCTTTCATCATTGATAGCTAGCGTGAATGGGCGGCTGTTTGACAGGGCCTGCTTTGTTGGCTCCCACAGCAGTAGTTCGAGCATTCTCTGTGGCCTGGGTTCTGAGGTCCACCTAGGCAGCCTGAGCCAGGCTGGCCCCCGGTTCTGAGCGATGGTGTTTTTCTTTTATTGTTGGTCCCCTTAGCTTCCAGTTGTTAAATATGAAGCTGGAAGTTGATACAAAGCAGTAGAAGCCTGTGCTCCTTTACCACCGTCATCTTGTATTCGAATATAGTCAGAGGACATTGTACCTTGGGCCAGGATTTGTAGGAAGTTGGCCATTAGAATGTGGTCCCAGAGATGGCAGATTTGGCAGCCTGATTAACCCTTCCCCTCGGCTTCTCCTACGAAGTACTATTGCCCTGAACCACATTAAATGGTCATGTGTCTTCCTGACTATAGCCCCACCATGCAACACCGCTGGGTAGCTTTGTTCTGGCTGCCTGTTATTATATGTGATATTCATAGCTGTGAGTCGTGGCTCCCTGGACCCTCAGTTAAACAATATGAAACTCTTATGTAATCAGCATTCCTTCTCCCCCAGAGAAAGGATTCAAGTTTTTCAGGGCTTGTTCATTGCTCAGGACCTGATCTTTGGGGTATAGCATTTTTGAGTTGGGGTATGAAAGTCCCAAAGTCATCAAATGTAGAGGAGGGGCTGGGTGTGGTGGCTTATGCCTGTAATTCCAGCATTTCCAGCACTTTGGGAGGCCAAGGCAGGCAGATCACTTAAGGCCAGGAGTTCGAAACCAGCCTGGCCAACATGGCAAAACCTTGTCTCTACTAAAAATAGAAAAAAAATAGCTGGGTGTGGTGGCACATGCCTGTAGTCCCAGCCACTCAGAAGACTGAGACTGGAGGGTAGTTTGAATCGGGGTGGCAGAGGTGCAACCTCTGCCAAGAGTGTGCCACTGCACCCTGAGCAACAGAGTGAGACTCTGTCTCAAAAAAATTAAAAAGGTAGTGGAAGGAGCTGCCAAAGTTTGTGCTTCTGTGCTCCTGTGGATAAGTAATCAGAGCTATAAAGCGGAGCTAATTGGCTGTAGACTCGTGAAAAGCTGAACAGACTGTGGAGACTGAACTGCTCTTCTGGAGCGGTGGGGATGGGGGAACTGTATCCCTGCTCAGACCTCAGTGAGTTGGGCTCACTGTGAGAGCTGGTTGTTGAGACCCTTTCTTAGAGGCTGTTTTGGAAGAACCAGTGTTATAGGACAGTAGTGTCATGTGTGGGCAGTGGAGACTGCATTTTAGTACATCGTGTTTATAAAGCCCTGCTCATTTTGCACCCCTCCTTACCTGGCTACCCTTTCCACTTGCAGAATGGAACCTCAAGAAGGGGCTTTGGGCCTTCAGGTGTGCTGATGAGGGAGAGTGGGTGCCGTGTAGGCAGCAACAGGAGAGGTACTCAGGCAGGGCTCTGGCATCCCTAAGAGGGAGAAGTGTGCCATCGTGATAAGGTGGAGACTTGGATTCTTGTCACTCTCATGTCATTAAAGGGATTTTTAAGTATCATGCAGCCCAGCCTACTTATTGCAGACACAGAGGCCCAGTAAGATGAAGTCACTGCCAAGGCCACACAGCTAGAGAGCAGGTCAGCCAGGACCAGAGCCAGATTTTCCGGCTCCTAGGTTACACCAGCTGGGGTGACCACTAAGACCCCTCCTCTATAAACATAGTTGGCCCTTTTGGTTCTAACCCTTTTGGAGCTCAGCTGTTCTGAGCTCATGAGTAGTGTTTGGGAGTTTTGAGCAGACTAAGGAATTGTTTGGTGTAGGTACTATAGATTCCATGTATAAAGAAGGTAAAGCTGAATATTATGGAGTTTGAGCTAGTGCTGGACATAGTGTTGTTATTTACTCTGATGATGTAGGTTAAAATCTTTAATGGGACTGAGTTCATGCAAGGAAAGCTTGCATGAACTCAATGTAGTTTGCCAGTGTAGTGCTGACGTTAGATTCTGATTTGGGCAATTATTTATGCTACTTCAGGGCAGAGGTATCTGAGTGTACAGTAGTAGTTGGCCTCATGAGCTAGCAGTGTCAGGTTTCTAGGATGTCAGGGAAGTCTCGAGAGAGCTGCAAATGTCTCCTGGCATTGACAAATTAGACCATTTTGTTTTCAGTGGATCAACTAAGGTTAAACTTAAACAAATATGAGCAGCTGGGAGACTTTGGAAGGAGCAAGATGTGCACATTCTCCGGGAAAAAAAAAAGAGAGAGAGAAAAAAAAAAAAATCCGTGCTCCCTGAGGAAGGAAGGATGAGGCGTGGAACTCAGAATGGCCCCCTCCGAGGAAGGAAGCAGTTATTTCTCTGCTGTTTTGTTTCTGTTAAGGAATTCCAGAAGTTGCAGGTTGCAGACCATGACCTCTATTTTTTTTTTTTTTTTTTTCTGTTGCTGCTTGCCAGAGGAAGGGAGGGCGGGTGGCCTTTAAATAACACTTTGGCCTTTATGGAAATGTATCAGATGTTCCAGGAGTGAGTCTCACTGCTGCGCTTGCTCACTGCCACTCTCACTTTTGCTCCACGCTCACTCACTTTGTCCTCACTTGTGTCCTTTCTCTAGGTTGTAGTTAACACTCTTCTCGCCTTATATAGCAAGGTCTGGTCGTTAATGTTAACAGAAATCTAACAACAGGGAAGGCTGCCAGATAGCATTAATCAGGCCAGTGTTTGGAATTTCATAAATGCCCTGACTTTGGGTACAAATTGAACATTAAGAACAATACAAAAGCTGTCTTCCTTCCTCTCTCTTCTTCTCTCCTCTCCCCTCCCCAGCCTATCCAGTTTCTCTCTCTGTCTCTCTGTGAATTCCTGTGCTCTGCCGTATGCTTGCTACACTGGAACTTTGTTGATTTTTGCCACGTTTAATTTTTTATTTCTCTGTCTCTCCGTCCACTCCAAGACCACAGGCGGAGCAGCAGCAGCCGGAGCCAGGACTCTGCGGAGGGGCAGGACGGGCAGGTCCCAGAGCAGTTCTCAGGTCTCCTCCACGGCTCCTCCCCGGTGTGCGAGGTGGGGCAGGACCCTTTCCAGCTGCTCTCTACCGCTGGCCAGAGCCATCCAGACGGGTCCCCCCAGCAGGGCGCCTGCCACAAGGCCAGCATGCAGCTGGAGGAGACGGGTGTGCATGCTCCTGGAGCCTCCCAGCCCAGTGCCCTGGACCAGAGCAAGAGAGTGGGCTACCTAGCAGGCCTGCCTACCACCAACAGCCGCTCGCGCCCTGAAACTTTGACTCACACAGCATCTCCACACCCTGGTGGTGCTGAGGAAGGAGACCGGAGTGGGACCAGGAGCCGAGCCCCTCCCACCAGCAAACCCAAAGCTGAACTCAAACTCAGCCGCAGCTTGTCCAAGTCTGACTCTGATCTCCTGACCTGCTCACCCACAGAGGACGCTACCATGGGGAGCCGGAGCGAGTCCTTATCCAACTGCAGCATTGGGAAGAAGAGGCTGGAGAAGTCACCCTCCTTTGCCTCGGAGTGGGATGAGGTAAGGCTGACATGACGTCATGGGGAGCTGGGCTGGGCAGGTTGACCACAGCCCGCCATAGCTCTCCTACGTGCCAACTCCCAGGCCCAGGATCTGGGCACGGTTGCCCTGGTTCCTTCACTCCATAACTAATGTGTTTCTGACAATCGTAAGAGGAGGCGAGCTTCAGGTAGCCTGGATCACAGAGGACAGGTTCGTTAATGGTTAAATTAGAGGGTGGAGGCCCCAGCAGAGCAGAGCTGATGAGGGAGGGGCAGTTCCTAGAAATGACATGTTGTTTGGAAATATTTGGATCCCGTCAGCCCCATTGAGAGAATCATGCCCACCCGGGGGATGCTTAAGAAGAGCTGGAGTACTTCCTGTGAGTCCTTCAAGAGGAAGAGAGGAGACCCAGGGCTAGCTGAGAGGTGTGAGGGGTGTTGAGGGGAAGACAGGGGTAGGGCAGGGGCAAAAGCTGAAAGGGGGCTTTTCTTTTTTTATATATAATTTCAACTTTTATTGTAGATTCAGGGGGTACATATGCAGGTTTGTTACATGGGTATATTGTATGATGCTGAGGCTTGGGGTATGACTGATCTTGTCACCCAGGTATTGGGCATGGTACCCAATACATAGTTTTTCAGCCCTTGCCCCTACTCCCTCCCCTCTCCAGTAGTCCCAGTGCAGTGTCTGTTGTTGTATCTTTGTGTCCATGAGTACCCATTGTTTAAGGGAGAACATGCTGCAGTGTTTGGTTTTCTGTTCCTGCATTAATTTGCTCAGGATAATGGCCTCCAGCTGCACCCATGTTGCTGCAAAGGACATGATCTCATTCTTTTTTATGGCTGCAAGAAGAAGGCTTTTCTATTCCCTGCCTCTCCATGGTTATTCTTACTGTGCTGTCCTGGAAAGCCAAATACTTCCAGCAGAAGGCTCCTACCTATCCCACATCCTCAGATTGGTCAGGCAGAAGAGAGCTAAGTGGTTTAGGAATGAAGATTAGGGAGTAGAAAACATTGGGAGTGAGAGGCCCAGTTTTCTTTCATAGCCATTATTAGTTGGAAATATGTACCGAAGTATTTTTCAGTGACCTATGGCATGTCTCACTGAGCAGAAGAATGTGTTTCTCAAAGTCGGGTAAACACCCTGGGAATGTTAAAGTACCACCCTTGCAAGCTCCTTGCTGAGTGGAAGCTGCCTTTGAAGTGGACTGGGTCTGTCTCTGAGGAATAATTTCAAGAAATACATTTAGCTCTCCAAGAGGAAGGGAACACTACAGCTGAAGTGTCCATTTGAACTATCTGTAGACTTAATGCCCTACCCAACTCTTTTTGGGTAGGTGCTACAAAGTTATATAAACCAAAGCCAATCCATTTCCAGTGAAGGAACAGGGTGGGGCAGTTCTTCCAGGACTACCTCCAGATGAGATGAAGTTTAAGATTCTGATTAGGTAGACAGAGGAACCCTGTGCAGAAGATTTTCATTGCTTAGTAAACAAAGAGTTGGTGAGCCTGTGCTAGAGGCCTGGCCACTAGTGGAAAATCACTAGTGAGATAGCTCTGGGGAAGGGGCGTGCAGGAGATTACACACAGGAGTGTGTGTATTTGTAGGAATGTGTGCTCTACCTTTGTTTTTTAAAACAGATTTTTACAAATTTACACTCAGCTATAGGAAAAATTCAAGATAAATTTAAGAGGAGTGTGAAGATAAGTGCAGTGTGCTCTGAAATGGCCTTTGAGGTCAAGAGAGAAAAACATCCGTGACTTTCACCCAGGTCTGAGATTTAAAAAAAAAAAAAATCAGACAGGAGGTGTCAGAGGGTGGGAAAAGGCTTCAGGAAGGATCACAGAGTGATGGGATTTGACATGGAATTAAAAGACCGAGTCTTATGCTTAAAACCAGGTTGAAGCTGGTAGGACGAGGAGAGGTGGGTGGAGAGAGCAGCATGAGCAGAGGCATGGAGCCGGGAAAGCTCAGGTCATTTGGTTTCTCTAGGGTGCTGAGTGTGTGTAAGGGCAGAATGAGAAGTAAGGGTACAAAGTGAGATTTGCGCCAGGTAGTGAGAGGGCCTCGAGCATCATGCGAGATGAGAACAGTCAGCCCTCCATATCCGTGGTTTTCTGCATCTATGGATTTAGCCAACTGTGGGTGGAAATGTTCGGGGTGGGCGGAGGGGGGCATAACAATACAACAATTTTAAAATGCACATAAAAATACAGTATGACAATTGTTTACATACAGCATTTACATTGTATCAGGTGTTATAAGTAATCCAGAGATGATTTAGAATATACGAGAAGATACATATAGGTTATATGCAATGGTATTTTATGTCAGGGACTTGAACATCCTCAGATACTGATATCGGGAGGGGTGTTCTGGAACCAATCCCTAGTGGCTGCTGAGGGAAGACTACTAGATATGCTATCACGGCAGTATCTCAGAATCCTTCACGGGCTGGAAGACGGCTTTACCAGTCCAGTGAATCACCTCTTCTTTATGGCTCCCTCTGAGCGTATCCTCACCAGGAGAGGTTAGCAGTGCTGGGCAATTCTTCACAGGATATTTATGTCCGGTTAACATGCAGCATGGCCAGGTAGTCTTATGGGCTCCTCTGTTTCCTCCTGGCTGAGAAATACAAAATCACCTGGGCAAAGCTGGTATTAATTGAGGTTGGCTGTTTGTGTGCTCTGAAATGGCCATAGAGGTCATAAGCCAGTACCTCTTTGCATCAGGAGGAGGTTCATGTGCTGATATCACCTGTGCAGATAAAGATTGCAGGTGCACACAGTGGCCCGGGGACTATCCAAGATCTAGGTGTTGTGGGCTAGTTCCCTAGTGTGGCTGAAATGCCAGAGCCCCGCTACATTTTAAATTTGAAAAAACTTAAAGGCAATTGAGGTCTTATTGGAACAAATTCAGAAGAGCAAGGTTTGCTTATATCGCAAACATTAACAGGGCCCTTTATATGTAACCCTTCAATGTTGTTAGTGATATTGTACTTGGTTTCTGTGGATATCTCTCTCTAAAGAGAAACTCCTGAAGTGTTTCCCCCAGCAATTGGCCCTAAACCCAGGGCTTTGGCCGGCTTTCCTGAAATAGGGCATTAGTTAATGGCTGCTCCCCACCCTATCCCTGACCAGTGCCTAAAGCCTGCTTTGCCATATCCTGTGCTTGCTGATTTTTTTCTTTGCTGTCCTTGGACCCTTGGGAGGTGGGGAACTCTGCTCTGAAGGCTCTGAAGGTGCTTGAGCCCAGCTCAGCTCCTCACTGTAAGGCCTGGAGAGGGAGAAGGAAGGCTGTGGAGTGGCAGCCCATCAGGCTGCTCCTAGAAGTAAGTGCAGGACAGCACATGAGCTCAGGTTCGGGAGTCAGCAGATCCAGCTTTAAGCCCCAGCTCCACCATCTCCACTTTGGTGCATGGACGACCTCAGTAAGCTCACTGTTTTTATCCTTATTTGTGAAACTGAGGCAGTTAGATCTGTGTCTCACAGTGTTTTACCAATTAGAGATGTGTTTAACTGCCTAGCACAGTTTCTAGCATGCATAACGTGGTAGATATTAATGTTACTATTGTGCTTGGAGCTTCAGAGAATGGGAACTAAGGCCTAGAGTGTCTTCAGACCTGAAGAAAGGCAGAGTTCAGGCCAGGCATGGTGGCTCATGCCTTTAATCCCAGCACTTTGGGAGGCCAAGGCGGGTGAATCACCTGAGGTCAGGAGTTTGAGACCAGCCTTGCCAAAATGGTGAAACCCTGTCTCTACTAAAAATACAGAAATTAGCTGGGCATAGTTGCATGTGCCTGTAATCCCAGCTACTTGGGAGGCTGAGGCAGGAGAATTGCTGGAACCCAAGGGGCGGAGGTTGCAGTGAGCCAAGATCACACCAGTGTACTGGGCAACAGAGTGAGACATTGTCTCAAAAAAAACAAGGCAGAGCTCTTTGCAGGAGGTTCTTTTGGTGTTTGGTGGTGGCAGAGTGAAGGGAAACCACTAGAGTTCAAACCCTTCAACTGGTGATTCCCCTGCACAGCTCTGCCTCACTACAGGGATGGGAGAGCCCACCCAGCCTGGGAAAGTAGGGCAGGCACCTTCCCCATTGTTCTCATTTGAGAAATTAATGAGCTTTCTGCTGAACTCCCTGAGAGGAGAAGAGAGGTTGGAGAGAAATCTATAGCCCTCTCTATAATTTATTTTTCAAATATATTCTTCCTCAGAAGGACCAGCAAATGGCTGGTTGTTTGGTTGTTGGGATGATGCCCTCTAGTTGGGAAACATATATGGCTGATAGATTTGGGAGTCATTTTCTCCAAATACAGACTGCTCCTTATGGTGGGTTAACTCAGCGCTTGTTGAACTACCCTGAGCAAGATGACTTCTGAAAGATGGCCTGGGTAAGGTAAACCTCTGTGATCGTATCTGTTAATGACACTAGCATTCTCCCTATTTTCTATTATATTTTTGGTAACAAAGAAGTCATGAGTTTGGCTTTAAAAGAGCTCAGCCTAAGAGGAGATCTGAATCCAAGCTTCAGTAGTTATTTTCTGCGTTCTCCAGTCAAGGCAAAGCATTCTTTGATGTCTTCATGATGCTTGGGACATAATAGAGGTTAAACTGAGAAGACGTACATAAATAAACTTCAAAAATATGTAGATAAGGAGTGGGAGATTTACCTGCATCCCTCCAAGCATACTTAACCTCTGTTAGCTTTCGATACATATCCAAATTTGCGTTCTTGGTGTATTTACTGATTATAATTTGCTTTTCTTACCTAATTACTGCATGTCATGGATATCTTACCATGGCAGCATCAATAAGATCTGTATTCAGACTGTCATTCTAAAAAGTCTGAGTATTCTCTTGTATGGCTGTATCATAAGGTTGGTTAGTTTGTTGTTGAAGCTGTTCTGTAAACATTAGATGTCGCACAGGGCATTTGCCACCAGCCCTTCCAGTCCAATTCCTACGTTTTCTGTCTGCCTATGTGTCATGTATTAATAGGCCAAGGGATTGTTGGATTGG